CAGACCAGGCCCAGCTGTCACACCTCAGGAGGAGCTGAGAGCACAGCTGTGGCCCCTCCGGGGACAGGCCCTCCTGCCCCTCCCTGCCTGGCGGGGGAGGCAGCTGCGGTCACCAGGGAGCTCCCCTCACCACGTGGCCTCTGGGCCAGGCAGCGGGGACAGCTGTGCCCACAGACCTGGCGGCTTCAGGACTTGTCTGCCCTGCCTGCAGAGGCGGCCTGGGCAGGACCCTCCTTACAGGTGAGGCTGGCAGGAGTGGGGTCCCCCTAACGGGAAACCGAAAGTTGGATGCTGTTCTCACCTCCGGGGACGGGGAGCTCACCCCCTACCATGCACTCCCTCCCTCTAAAGCAGCGGTTCTCAACCTGTGGGTCGCGACCCCTTTGGGGGTCGAACGACCCTTTCACAGGGGTCGCCTAAGACCATCAGAAAACACATATATAATTACATATTGTTTTTGTGATGAATCACTATGTGATTAATTATGTCCAATTTGTAACAATGAAAATACATCACACACATCAGATAGTTACATGACGATTCATAACAGTAGCAACATGACAGTTATGAAGTAGCAACGAAAATAACTTTATGGTCGGGGGTCGCCACAGCCTGAGGAGCTGTGTTAAAGGGTCGCGGCATCAGGAAGATTGAGAACCAATGAATCTAAAGGGACGAAGCCACCTGCTCAGCCTGGACGGCCGGGTCCCCAGGCCTGGCTCCACCCCCTGGGGACAGCCCTGCAGACTGGCTCCTGCTTGGCCTGAAACCGCCCCCCGCCCCCTGGCCTGTCCCCCCAGACACACGCCTAACCCCGTCCTGAAACAGGTAAGTGTGGCCTCCACACACACTGTGTCCATGGGCCTTGAACCATGCAACCATTAGACGCCTGCTGTGTGCCACACTGCAGTGGGGGAGGGGCCGGGCAGCGGAGACAGGCCTCACCCCTCAGTCTCCCCGATCCTCCTCTGGGCACCCTCAAAAGTCAGGGACCGAGCCCACCTCCAGGTCCGGACCCAGGCCACTGGCCAGGAGAGGGACTCCCCGGGGCTGGCTGCATGGCGCCCTGCACCCACAGGCGGCACCCACAGGCGCGCCCCAGCCATCTGCACCCCTCCCGAGCCTTTCCCAGCGTGAACTTCCACCTGGAACAGAGTGCCCTCTGATGGGAGGCGCGCAGTCTATTTAAGGCGGGAACTCCCAGGTCCCGGAATGGAATGGGGGTGACGTGTGTGCAATTAGGTGCGGGGTGAGGTGTGTGCAATTAGGTCGACAGCCCATCAGCACCTCCACAAAGCGCCCCCCCGCTGCTATGAGGGGGCGGGGCTGGGGGCAGACAGGCAGCCTGGGTGGTTGCAGTTGCAGGAAGGCAGCCACCTGCCCACCTCAGTCCACTACCCAGCACCCCGCCTCCCGCCTGCTCCCTCATGACCTGTCTGGCCTGCAGCCCCGAGCAGGGGGCTGGCTGGGAGCGGGTGGGAGGGCAGGGCCTGGTCAGCGGTGAGTGGGTCTGGGACACTTACTGCACCGACAGCTGACCTGTGAGGGGTGGGGACAGGGAGACGCCTCAGACCCAGACCCCGAATCGACACCCCCAGTGATTTTGAATTATCTTCCCCCCTCTTCCAAGAACAAGTTTCTTTTTCTTTCACCTTTCCCTGCACTCTTATCTGGTTGATTTTTATCTCCCTGGTTAGGGCTTGTGATGCTGTAATTCGCCAAAGAATATGGAGTAGAATGGGCATTTATTTAAAGAAAATAGGTTAAAGATTAACAATGCACTAGCCAGGGG